TTCAGTCTGAAGTTTTGGTCCAGTCACCAAGCATTCATTTAATGAGACTCCTGATGAAGACGTAGCTGAGGCGTCGAACACCACACGAATCTTCAGTTCTTCATTACAACGTTTAACTACTGGGTGGTGTGGTATGAAATATTTGCCTGGCTCAGTCGCTAACTTCATATGTCCTAACGCTCTATAATCGTTCATGAAGGCCCGGTAGGCAGTATACAATGCTGAATCCTTCTCTAGGCGACGTTCTAAATTATACAATCGGTTAAGAGCTGAAGTTCTGGATGACCCTAAAACGACCGACTTCTCATCTTGACATCCGATGTCGGTGGAACATACTATCGTTCGAAATGGTAAACCAACATAAAATCGACCGGTGGCGTCTCGTTTCGTGGTTCTAACAAACCAATCTTCACATTGCTTGTCTTGTGTAGTTGGCATTGTGGACTCTGTGGGCTCCTCTACTGTCCAAAAACGCTGCATCAACTCTTCAATCGGAGGGGTTGTACTAATTGACAGGGAAGTAAGAGGAGTATGTGTGTTATTCTGTAACGCGCCAATTATGACCCAACCTAACTGTGTATTCATCGCTGATGGTAGGCCCTCGGTATGTATAATGTCAGCTCTAGATTGAATTACGGACGGATATAAGTCTCCTCCAATCAACATATCTACTGGCGCCGGGTGATCAAATCGGGGGTCGGCAAAGACAAGATGCCGATAGCGATCTCGTATCTCAGCTGGCAAAACCCTGTTAGGCATTGATGACATAATTCGAGGTAAAACAATGACATTTGTTACTTTAAATTCGGGAACGTCGGATTGAACAGAAAAAAAATTAAAATTAGTTTGACCTTTAACAGTATTTACCGGTTGTTGGGAAAGTCCGATGACCTCAACAGGACACTTCCTACGGGTCAAACCTAACCGGTTGACACAATCCACTGTCATTGCAGACACCTGCGACCCACTGTCTAATACTGCCCTGACTTCTTGTAGAATCCCTGTATTGTCCCGAACCCTGACTACAACAGTACCCAACAAAACCGTGGTTTCAGTATGTGTAACTCCCGAAAACTTTGTTGTATTACAACTTGTGGTGGGTCGTTCGGAGTTGTCATTTGTCTTATCGGTGCTCGATTTTGTAGTATCATCTGTCAAATGTAGTAATGTACTATGCTTACTCGAACACGTACGACACGTAAAAGACGTAGGACACGCATTGCTCATGTGCCCACTGTTCAAACAAATAAAACATAATTGATTTTTATTGACAAAATCGCGACGACTGGTAATTGCTAGTTTTCGGAATCCAAAACACTTGTAAATTGCATGTGGGTGTCCACAAAATAAACACTTTTTTGACTTGGTGGGGGCAACCGCGGCTAACGATGTCTTCTCGGACCTCTTGCCCTGGATCTTCTTAGTAGTTGTCTTCCCTACTGTCTTTTCATTATTTTCCACACAATTAATGCTCAAACTGCTGCCAACGTTTTCCAAAACGTTACATCGTTGTGATGCGAACTCTAATAATGAGTTCAAATCAGGTATTTCATTTTTCGCAACAGTAGCCTCAAATAATCGTCGTGTCATGGGATCAATAACGCGTGACCCGATGTAGAATAATATAAATCCCGCCAAGTCTCCGACTCCAAGAGCTTGTACAGCTGATACATTTTCCCGAAAAGTGTTGACGAACAATGAAAGTGATGCAGGGGATTCCTTTGTTAACGACGCGAATGTAAATAATTTTTCAATGTGCGCAGTGACCAATAAGCGTTTATTGTCATATCGATTTTTAAGCGCATTCCAAGCAATAGAATAATTGTCAGCTGTAAGTGGCACTGCTTTTACTATTGTTAACGCTGGACCTAATAAGTAAAACAATAGGTAATGGAAACGCTCAATATCTTCGTAATGTTGGTTGTCATGCACCAAGGATGTAAACATATCACGGAAAGAACACCATTCAATAATATTACCATCAAACTTAGGAATCTCGATTCTTGGTAAAATCAGTGATTGCACAGAAGACTGACTCCTATCATTGCGCGGAGTGGGCATCGAAGTATTCTGTTTTAATTTTGCTACAATGACATTGATCTGGTCACACATCGATTGCATCGTTTCGGTGACGTTCTCATCCACTTCCACGAATTGGTCAACTTCATCGGTCTCCGCGAGTGTTGAAAGAATATGTTTTTGTTCATTATTGAAATCAGTGACTAGTTGACCTAATGACATAACTCGCGCTTCTAATGTGGGACGATTTTCAGAATTGATTACCGCATCCTTAGCAATACTTAATATTTTCTTAATTGATCGTAACGCGACGTCTCTTGCGGCACGCGCGCGCGTTAGCTCGATCTTTTTTTGTTCATTGTGGATTTGTTGCTGGTTTTTTCTCGTCATCGTATAAATGATGTAGTACCTATACACCTAACAACGCAAAACCAACAACCAAGAAAAGAAACACAAAGATACTAATAGGATAAAGCAATAATAATAATATATAGCAAATAATGCAATAATTAATACATGTAATACATTAATTAATAGCTATCCGTGGCCGAAAGGACCAAATGTTTAGCTGTGATAGCCAGTTTAAATAAACATGGTTGTATCCTAACTATTTCACTGGTAATTAATAAATAAAGGTAATGTAAAATATATAGAATAAAACAAATAATATTTTGCTAGTGGACTGTATAAATTTTATTGCATATAAGTAGGAAAATATGATGTACACGAGAACACCTTAGATACTATGTTAGTCCTACCCAATAATAATACAAATAATAAATAATAATTGATCAACAAATCACAAACGTGAGTGTGATAATAATAATATTATAA